CAGCCCCTGCACAGAAACAACTTCCAAATTTGTGAGGCCAGAAAGAGGAAGAAAGTGAAGTCTTTAGCATAAGTTAGCATATTTTTCTGTGGAACAAGTCTGATGTTTTTCGCTCCAGAAATCTTGCATTATGCCTAAGTGCCCCTAGGGTTAAAACACTGGAGAGTAGATGTGGGAATCCAGCCCGTAGCCCTGCGTCAAGAGCAGTAAATCTAAGCTGTCTGGCACACTGGTAGGTTCTCTACTGTCTGAAGCTTCTTGGCTATTCTCAATATATGGATCACCTCCTCTGCATACCCTCATCCTGACTTCAGAGGAAAGCCTACTCAGCTCTAAGAGCAAATGCCCTTGCTGTGAATGGGGGAAGGAAAAATTGCCTGCTGAGCACAGCTGGGGCGAGAACATGGTCGAGTGGCTCAAGGATAGCCACCGTGCTGGCTAACTTGTTATCCTATAGGTCTGCCTGTGGTTTTATCTGGCAGAAAATGCACTGGCGACTTGAGGTAGCTCCATCTATCAAGGCAAGAGGTAGAGATGGGACTGCAGTCAAAGAGATTTTATTGAACCTATTCTGTCTTCAGCAGATGGAGTTCCTGACTCTTGACTAGCGTACGTCCCTGTCCCACCACAGACGCGGCCGCACGCATGTACACAGATGCAGTGTCATACCCTTGCTAGGGCCTGACTGGCAGCAAGAACAGGATTTAGCTTCTGGTAGACGTGGTTGGACGCAAGCTCGAGGGCCTGCGCTTTCCTGCCTGCAGAAGGGAATATTGTCTGGTCATGCGATGAGCTACGCTGCCCTCCTGGCATGTGACAGTCGGGTGCACTGACACTAAGCTGCTTTTGAGGATGAGGGCAAAGGAGAAGTGAAAGAGTAAAACTATAATTATAATGGAAAAAAAAATTGCTTCTTCCTCAAGGCTTTTGTGAAAAAGCACAGAAATGCTCTCCTTACAGTCTGAGGAAGACAGTCAAGGAACTGACTGATGTTGCCAAAGCTTCTCTCCTTACTGTAGTTAAATTTAACTCTCTTGGAACAGAGCATAAGAATTTAGGTCAGACAGGACCTCTGGAAGCCGTCTGGTCCAACCCTTGCTCATGGCACAACCAATCTCAAAGCACGGTCAGGCTGCTGAGGCTCTTTTCCAGTTGAAGTATGGAGACTCGCCCTCCTCCCTGGGCAGCCTGTTCCAATGTTCCCCTCTGTTCCTGTGGGAAATTTAGGTTGGTGTGGTGCTATTGCCGCCAGGGTTCCCAGCCTCAGACCAGCAGGTTTACATTTGGTTTAGGTTATCCAAAAGGTAGTGCTTCTGCTGTGAGATGCAAATTTAATTATGGCTCAACTCTGAGGCTACTGCAAATAGGTTTTGTTGGTTTAACTAGGATTTCTGATGAAGGTCACCTGGACGCTCTGTGTAGCAATATGCAACTACCTGGGCCTGAGCAAGGTGCCCCTCAGCAGCGGATGCCAGTGCAGGCTATGTACCATGCCATAATATGCCCCACCGCTGCCTGCCCACCTTTGGATCCAGCGGCTACACTGGCACTGTTGGTTGCACTGTTCTTTGCAAAGCAATCTGGCTAGAGGCCGTGTGTAGAACTTTAACATGCCTCAAAGAAGGGAATTGGGATGTAGCTTTATTGAAACTTACCTCAATTTTTTTCTTCTCCCTCCACTCCTTACAAGTAGGAATCAGTTAGGACAGTTGGACTGATTAAAATTAGTTATATTCTAGTTACTGGGATTAGGAATTGGTTATTGCCAGAAGCCCTATTTCTACAGGGGAGAAGAGTACTAAGGAAGAAAATGTTCTGCTACAAATGTTCCCTGGTGATTTAGTGCGGTGAGAACAAGCAGGCACAGCCCCCAACACCCTGTGCTGAGTGAGGGCAGTGCCAGACAAGTTGGGGAGCATCCTGTGCCCCAGCTTTGCTAGGCCTTTGTTTGACCACAACAGCCAGCAGAAAAAAAATCACAAAGAGCAAGCTAAAAGGTGCTCAAATGCCTCTTGCAGCTTTACCACAAAGGGAGATAGTCTCATCTGTTTCACGTGTTGTTATGAATTAAGCTAAAGATTTCTTGCCCAGCTTGTGTCCTGAGCTTTACTTTTGAAGGCATAGAGTGTTCACTTCTGATTTTACCTGGCTGGCTGTGAATGAAAACAGACACTTCAGGCAGACCTAGACATGCAAGTTAACTGTGCTGTCTTCTGTAAAGAGAATTATTATGAACTTTCTGTAACCTGTTTCCCTAGATATCGTCTGTGGGTTTTTATACAAGAGGACACGAGTGTTTCAGATGTAATCATTGTGCCTCAAGATTAGGTAATCTTCGATACCTATTGATACCTTCCCCAGGTGCAGATTAAGGATTTTTTTACATTAATCTGTTCAGTGAAAACTCTGGCAGAAGTGCTGCACAGCAAATGCCCTGCTTTATACCTGCCTGTCAGCACCAAGAAAGGTTCACTACAGCTCACCTCCCTTTTGTTTGTTGTAGAGCGCTTCTCTTTCTGACCGTGGTTCAGCTCCTGATGGAAAAGCAAAATGTTATCACAGAGGTCCCGGCAGCTCTAAAGCGCCTGGCCAAATATATAGTGCGTGGTTTCTATGGAGTGGAGTACTCCCTGGCCCTCGATATACTGATCCGCTACCCCTGTGTGAAAGAGGATGACTTGTTACAGTTGCTCAAGTACGAACGTAAACAACTACGTGCTGTCCTCAACACGCTCAAGGCAGACAAGTTTGTGAAGCTGCGTATGCGAGTTGAAACTGGGCCTAACGGGAAAAGCACAAGGCACAATTACTATTACATCAATTACAAGGTGTTGGTGGATGTGGTCAAATACAAACTAGATCACGTACGCCGGAAAATAGAGGCAGATGAGCGAGATTCAACTACCAGGTCCTCTTTTAAATGTCCATCTTGCTCCAGTACTTACACGGACCTTGAAGTCAATCAGCTCTTTGATGTACTTACAGGTATGTTGCTTATATTGCTTATTTGCTCTTGTCTTAACTTTGATAGTACAAAATTGGCTCCTGTGTGAACTTTGCAATAAAAGCATGTTTGTTAGGATGTACTTCTTGTTTGCTGGTGGATAAGGGCGTGGGACAGGAGAAGCTGGGAGATGAAGGTAGGAGAAAAAGCTGTCTCTCTAGAACAGGCCAAGCAAGAGGAAGAATAATCTTGAATATACCCGCTGGCGTTGGGAATTGGATTTCAGGTCTCAGTTTTGCTATGAACAAGACTCTTAACCCAGTTTAAGATTACTCATCCAAGTCCCACTTCCTCATATGGAAATGAGAATACAGTACTCACTTTACTCCATTTTGAATGTGTTAGTTAATCCATTTGTGTGTTCAGTGCTTCTGAGGGAAGGGTTGGACAAGGTGGATAAAACTGTTTGAAGCCAGCTACTGTAATACCCGTGTTGCAGGTCGGCAGCAGAGGAGAGATGTTCTGTCGCTCCTGTGCTGGAAGCGGGGAAGTTCAGGCTCCTCGTGGGGTCAACAGGACACATCTGCAGCACAAGTGGCATCAGAGCTTACGGGTTTCTCTTCTCTACAATCAAAATAACTAGAGAGTACTCTTTCAAAATGAGTTAAAATGGCATCATATTGCAATACATTACTCTAAGCGCAGCTACCATGTTAAAATCTGGGTCATGATATCTGCAAAGCATGCCATAGCCAGGGAGAATGAACTTTATGTGACTAACTCGAAATGGCAAGGGTTAAATTAGTGTCCTGTCAGTTGGCAAAATCATCCCTTTGTTCTAAATGGAGGGACTTTGTCAAGTTACTGAAATGCAAACACTGAGGCTGGTAATACATTTTAATACAATACACTTTAATTTTTTTTTTGCTTAAGATGTAAATATAGGTTTTTAGCATATGCTTTGACTCTAAATGAGTCTTTTTGAACTTTAGAACTCAGAACAACTAAATCCAGATGCTATTTATGCTTGCAAATGTCTTTTTTGTTTCTTACATTATGAACTAAGATGAGATGAGAGAAGGAAAAAAAAAAAAACCAAAACCTTACTATCTGATGATACTCCATGTCTAGCCAACTTAACTTTCTCCCTAAATATGGACATTTTCTCTCTTGCATAGCAAGCGTGTGAGTATCAGTCCTTCTACCAAAAAATCCAAACTTGCCTTTATAACTTGAGTTCCCTTAGTTAATGTGAACAAATGGATAAAGTCAGAATATTTTGGTAATTGTCCAGGCTGTGGATTTAACAAGGTACTGCTGATCTTCTGCATCCTATGAACACAAGAATTTCCAATTTGGATAACATTGCAGAGACTTTCCGCTGTACTTACTGCAACAGTGAAGTAGAGGAAGATGCCTCAGGACTTCCTAAGCGGGATGCTCGAACCTTGCTAGCAAAATTCAATGAGCAGATCGAACCTATCTTTGTGCTGCTGCGTGAGACAGAAGATATTGTTCTGCCGTATGACTTGCTGGAGCCTCAGCCGACAGAAATACCAGAATTATCAGAAAGGTATAAATACAACTCTAGAACTTCTCATCAATACAAACGCCCAACAACTTTCCCGTTGTAAAGTCTCTGAAATACTGAACTTGCAGCCTACTTTCTACTCCATTCTGCTTTGTTCAGTACTGTCAGCTGCTTAATGAAGAAGCTTGTGATATCTAAGGCATTCTAAATTATTGTTATGCATTTATAGTTTTATTTTTGCTACCTTTTTAAAGTAATTTTCCCCACTTCTCCTCTAGCTAATGTTCATAGCCCTTTCTGTGAGAAAATAACATTTGTCTTATCAGTGTGCTTCATCCAGAGATGCACTACTGAAGAGACCATGCAAAAATCAATGGTTCAGAACCACTTGCCTCTGAGATCAGGTAATCGGGAACGCAGGTTGTTTTAATACAGAGCAGTTGTTAAAGCTAGTCTGCTGACAAAACAGGCCTTTGTTTTGTTTTGTCTTTCTTTGAATGGGAACTGGGAGGTTCTTGCCTGAATGTAACCTGTCCAAAATGGGTGATGTTTCATTCAGCTTTGATCAGAAGGTGGGTTCAAGTGTGCTGGAATCCTGCAGCCGACCTGAAAAATGGGCCAACAGAGGTTCCTCTTTTGGCAATATGTACACCCAAAACTTAGTTATTAATGTCCAAGACTCTGAGCCCAAGAAGAAAACAAGAGAAAAAGCAACTAAAGAGCAACCTATCTGGATGTCACAGAGCACAGTGGAAGGAGCAACAACAGCCACCACCAACAGTGTTGGTAAGTTTTAAACATTAGTAAATACTTGGACTCAGCAGCCTTACTGCATTTAAATATAGCTTTCCTATTAAAAAGGTAATAAGCTTGGTTTAGAATATAGGGTAATGCTTCAATTCATCACTAGTGGCTATCAGATCTTAGTTTCTAAAAACTAGTCTTTAGGCTGATTTAGGTAGTACTCCTAAAGCCAGAGATCAGGTACCAGGTCATGAAATTTTTGGCTCTAACCATGCAGTAATACTAGTGGTAATCTTTAAAGTGGAAAGCTCTTGGAAATGTATGCACTTGCAAGAGAATTCAAAAGTGTGGCTAAAAAAGATGCAGAGTAGGAAAAAAAAAATTATGATGCTTGTGGTAACTGTAAACTACCGATACCTCTAACACTTAGTATTGTGTATTAGGAGTAAATGCTTCTGAAGAAACTGAAGAAAATGTTAAAGAAACCGTCACTGATAATGAAATCATCAAGACTCTTCTGATTCATGAATCCAAGTCTTCATCTAGCACAGACCAGGCTCCTGTTGTCAAAAGCAAACTACCTGAACCAGGCAGTGACAGCAGTGAGCCTGAAGAAGATGCCAAGTGCTCAGGAACAGCAGGCAACAACTCTGAACAAGAGGAGGAACAGGAAACACAAGGTCCTCTTTTAATGGTAGCTGGCCAGCCTCACTCATATGGTGAGGTTAGTGAAAATCCAGAGCTTGTGTCTCTCATGACAAATGAGGAGAGAGCAGCTTATGTAAAACTAGGGCAAGAAATGTTCCAGTCTCTCTTTGAGTAAATACTACTGTATGAATTTGCAAACTTGTACAGAATGGGTGAAGGCTGCTTTTGAAATAAGACAGTTAAGTCTAATAGTTTATGTTCTTCAAAGTTTACCACTGAAGCTTTAAGTTTTTTTGAACTCCTTGCTGTTATGCAAGATAGTAATCCTGTAGTAGGTAACTACAGTTCAAAATACTAGCATTGCAGCAAAAGCAACTCAAAGTTACTATGGTTTTTCTGTTGTCTAATGCTTAGAGTTTGTGAATGCTGTAATCGGTTTTAGAGCATGAATCACTTCAGGATACAGTGAGATTTGATTAAAATAAAGTTTCAAAAGCAATGTTGCAATCTATTGTAAGAAATCAATTATTCCACCTTCTCCCAGAAGTAGCAGATACCTCCAGTAGTGAAAATGAGTCAAAAAATCCAACATGATTTGGTTTCACTCCATACCAGTGCGTTCTACCAAGTTGTGTTAGCTATACAGGAGAACCAGCTCTGGCCTCTTACCTTTCATCTTAAAAATAATTCTCCAAATTCATTGTACTCACTGCTCCACAGAACTGTCTCTGAAGTGATGAACTACACAATGGACACCGACAGTAAAATGTGACATTCATTTTGGTCCAGATTGGTAAGGAAGCAAACGATGTATCAAGCAGAAGACTCTGCTTCTCTCATCTCATTCGCACACTCTCCTGTAATTTTTAAGCAAGTTCTTGTCTACTACTGCTGGAAAAAACACATTCTACTTGAACTGAACTACATATGAGTTGAAAGAATATGAGAGCGAGCTTAATTTCTTCAGCAATTCTACTACTCGAGCAATGAATAATGAAAGCAGACTAGATGGGCACAAACCAAAACAGAGGAGGTTCCCTCTGAACGTTTGTTGGAAACACTACTTTTTTTTTACTGTAAGGGTGAGCAAGCACTGGCACAGGTTGCCCAGAGAGGCTGCAGAGTTTCCCACCCTGGAGATATTCAAAAGCCTCCTGGGCAACCAGCTCCAAGTGGCCCTGCTTGAGCAAGGGGTTGGACAAGATGACCTCCAGAGATCCCTGCCAACCTCAGCCATTCTGTGATGAAACAGTAGAGAGAGTGTATGACCAAAAACCCACCATTTCAGTGCATTGTTCATACACAGCATTCCAGAGCAAGAATTCAGGAATTGTGTGTGCTCATGTTATTTCTAGACTTAGAGTTTGATTTACCATGTAAACTAGATTTGTCTCAAATATGCACAAATCTTCTTGTTCTAATTTATGAAAATGTCCTCTCTTAAGAATCATTTGGTAGACCTGTGTCATGTTAGTGATTAAATGCTTTAATTTGGTTTTGCTTTCACAGGCTTGCCTTTGTCACAATATATTATTTCCTCTGTCCTCAAAATTGTAAAGTTTTTTTCTGCATACAATATCACTGTGAGTTTAAAGCCTGCACAATAACTATAAACTGTCTTCAAACCTTTTGATATACTTTAGTCTTTGGAGATGAGGCATGTGACTAATCTGCCATTTTAAAATTCACTCTCAAAACTGGAAACACTCAAAAAAAACCCCAAACTAAAAAAAGAAGTTACAGAAGAATCACTCATTTTATTCAAACTTCAGGCATATTTAGGCTTCACTGTCACTAGACTGTCTCTCACAGCATATAGCCATATTATTACACTAACCTCAGAAGGAAGACTATCCTGAATTAAAGATGACCATTGCTTTAACTACTTTAACAAAAGCCTTGTGTTTAAGGTAAATAGGATCTCTGTAATGCAGTAGATATACTGAATAAGCAATTTCTAGCTCAATTTTATGACTTACTGTTACCAGCAACTATGATCTGAAAAAGTCAAAGTTTTTGTCCTGGATCAAGTTTTCCAATGTACGTTTCTACAATCCTAATTCTGCCTTTGCCATAAGACTTCATTAGGTGCTGACTTAAAAAAACAGTTAAAAACATTAACTTGAACTGTAATTTCCTAAATTTCTTCCTTGCTACATGAAAACTCATCACAATGTCAAATACTTTAGGAACAGATTCTACAGGCTTTCGATTGAAGCAATTTTAAGTATTACCCGTGAAAGGATACTAAAGTTTTCAGACAGGTTTATCCCTTCACACACTGGAAGTGCAAAACAGAAAGTGCAGAAAGATACAGATGGTTTCTGGAGTTAACTACAAACCCAGGGTATTTACTTCACCTCAGATAAATGTGCTGATAGAAATTAATTCCACAGACTGTGAACAGGAACAGTATTTTTTTTTTTTTGCAACAGACCAGCTGTACTCTAGGCTATAAAGGCAACATGTGTAGGCATGTACAGTGTCAACCCCTCATATTTGTAGAAGATGGAGAAACTTAGTGGGACAAGAGTTTGTGTCCCAGGAAAATTAGCAGTGTTTCTCTGAAGAGGAGTAACAAACTGCTACAAGCACACCAACACTCAAAGTCCATTAACTTCCAACAACAAACTCTGTGTACCATTTGGTAAGCCAGAGGAATATTTTTTGAAAGACAAATTTACAGACAAGTCCAAACTTTATTTAAAACTACTATTTTGAACAATTTTAAAAGTACTAAACAAATCACAATGAAAAATAAAAAAAAAAAAGATTAATACAGAAAAAGAACAGTGCAGCAAAACTGAATAGAAGATGATTCAGTTCCAGCTGTTCAAACTGCCACAGGCAGAAGTTAGCATACCTATCCCTAAAAGGCATTGTGTCAAAAATTTTACATTTTTATACACTTTCAGAATTCTGGGAAATTAGTGCTGCTCTTCCATTTGCATTTGTATACATGGAGTTTATAGATGCAGATATCTTCAGGTTATTCTCATGCACTTTGAGCTCCAAAAGTTTCTGTAAAATAAGAGTAAACTCATTATTGTCTAACAGCCATGAGGCATCAAACACAGTTCTTGACACATTTCAACTCCTTCTAAGTCTCCATTAAAGCACCTTGATGAAATACTTCATCTTCACCTTTTTTTTTTTCCACATGCATTTTGACCCATGGCTTACTTGAACAGCTACAGCCATTCTCCACAGACAGATTAAGAATGGCTTAGTTGCGAGCTACCAATTTCGTGTGGCACGGCATTCTGAGCCAGACTGTTCCCACCCCAGGTGTACGCATCAGTATTCACCAAACGGACACGACAGACTTCTGCTCGCATAGCTATGACAAGCAGAATGGTGATGGGCAGTGAATGAAAGGGAAGGAAAGACACTCCTTCCTTCACACTGCTGTCACTGCAACTGCATTAAAAAAACAAAAGCATTTTCATGAGCTTATACTGTTTGAGGAACTGGATCTAGCTACACTAGCAGAAAACTACTACCACCAGAATACCCAGTTCATGCATTTATATATGCCATTACTATACCCTCCACTGGAGAACTACAAGCCTAACAATAGAACTGAAGCCTTTAATACCATAACTTGTACACCAGCACACATATACACCGAAAGTTTTCTCCACCTCATGGTATACTTCATATGAAAAATAGTTTTCTTTTCCATAAAGAGCTATTTTACTATTCTGAAAAATCTCTTGAACTTTTCCATCACAAAAACACTGAGCAGTCTGTCAGCAAATTATATTGAGTATTATTAAATAGCAATTAGAATTTACAATATTATTAATCCCAAGCTTGTGTAAGAAGAAAAAAAAAATACTATTCCATTTTAAGTTTCAAAAGCATTACTTTATAACATGCATTTTACATGTTAATTTTTATGACTTCTTTATTAGCCACAGAATCTAACAGAAGTATATAGAAGGGACATGGCAGGCAAAACTCCCCCTTCATATCAATACATCATTTTCAAATGAACGATAACAAAAAAGGATATCCTTTCAGCACCATGATAACTGCTTACTTCAATCAGTGATAACAAGATATTTAAATTCTAGGCCATTCCAGAGTGTTTTCCCAATAGGTATAGAGGATTTAGAAAATAATCTTTACCAGGTTCTTTCAAAGTTTGGGCATCTCCTACTAACTCTTGATCTTGAGCTCCACCTCCATCCAGTAATTCATCAGACAAACTGTTGGTCTGGGCCTCCGTTGCCATTTTCTTCATTAAATCTGCCTTTGTAACAGATAAAGCAAAATTCAAAATTCTGGATAATTCTTATTGCCGTCTAGGTAATTAAGACATTTAGGGTGTGCACTTCTAAACAACCACCCCACAAACAATGGCAAAATACCTCTGAATATACTGCAAGTTTAAGGGGCAAGTTTTCAACTTTCACAAAGTCATCTTCATCAGATTTTTGACTTCCATTTCCAGAACCAGCTTCCTGTTAATAAAAACAGTGACATTAAGGGAATAGTGAAACTTTGTTTTATTTTCACCCCAAAACTAGATTTTTGACTATTATAATAAAGTACATCAAAAAAACAATGCCCATATCAACTTTGCAGATGAAAACCGAACAAGATTGGAAACCAGAAATAACACTGAAACAGAAAAAAAGCTTCTCATTTCTCTTGGATGTATCTTAACTGAAGTATACGCACATATTCATTCACTAACACAGGTGACTCTGTATCGGGGCTGCCAGCCATGGAGCTTTCAGAACTCGCAGCAGATTTGTTTCCTACACACATTGTATCCAGCGTTTGAGTTTCATTTACTGGTAAAGATGAGCTTGATTCTTCTGTTTTCCTGCTGGCTGTTATAAAGGATTCTGGGGTATTGACTGTTAAAGGTGGTATATTCTCCATGACATTGAGGTAATGAGGCAAAATGGTAGCCACATCTTGTTCACCTAAAACCACAAAACTACATTTTAACCAGGTAGAGATAGTAAAAGATTCTAAGCATACAAAAATCCCAGATTATTATTATTTGACAAATTATGATCCAAAGCTACAAATGAGCAATACAAGTGAATTACAGGCTCTCAGATCAACACAAAGCTGATTGAAATAAAACATCAGTTCTTTGTACTCTCATATACTTAAGTATCAGCAATTCTCACAAGACAGTATGTGACTTGAAAA